AGCCAATCGTCTGACCAAATACCTAACGGCGATACCGGACGTCAAACTCAAAACGTAGAAAGTGCTATCGTAGACTATGTGACGTTGTTGTTCGAATACTTCAACCGGAACACGATTTTAGCCTGTCTCTAAAAATTAGCTTTACAGAGTGAAGTTATCGATTCAACATGTATTCGAGCTATTTACTGCATGCAGCATTAGTCATCACGAATATGTTGAAGCAATTATGTCGTTCATGTTTACAGTGAGTAGCTTCACATTCGAGCTAGATGCGGCCTTTCCATTGAGTAATGTCGTTTTCTAATTTGTTGTTATGTTAGCATTATGTGCGTCGGCCCTAAATATACGGCTGTGATTGTTACTGAAATATTCATATAGTCAGTTGTGTTCAACACATATGAGGGATCACATGGTGTAGTACGACATGTTGCCAATTGTAACGTGAAGACATACGGATTAGTCAATAAGTTTCTATTCTATACCCAATAAATCGAGGCCAATTTACGGACCAGCCTTATGCCCTTCGAATTTTACCCATCTTAAACAAACCTAAGGGAGCCAACCGAATGCTGCCGCTAAGGCAGGGTCGTCGCTTCGCCCAACTTGCAATATATGGTCATTGCTATAAGCGTCAACTTGTCAATAGCAGTGAGTCAAGTTTAAATCAATTAACGGTAGATCACAGACTCGATCGCCTAGAAGTTGAGGCTTATCCTTACATAGAAGAATATCGTTGCAGCTAGTTTTTACGGTTAGGCCAATTTGCTCGCTATGCTTCTATTGAATTCGAGTTAATCATGTTCCTTTATAATCGACATCTTTATCAGTTGCGATATTGAAGAAGGTTGGCCACGCTGAGCCGTTGTATACTGAACGCAGAAGGTAAATTTTCATTGTCCTTAAATCAATCTACTAGGAAGTAGCTAACTTTCAGCTCCACTATGTATGCTGTATCATCATCGTCCAAATGGTTGAACAGCTGTACTCGTAACGACCGGAGATTACAAGGAAATCTAAGGCATAGAATTATATAGAACGTTTGCAAAATACACCGGCCTCCTCGGTGGCCTCTAAAAATCGAGAGCGAAATCTCTCAAAACACGGACAAACTAATACATTCCAGTACCGGGAAACGTATAGGTCACATCCACCATCAGTTACGAGGCGATTCTGAGGCCAATTTACCTACCGGTGAAAAAGTCTTTGAGAGAACGCCACCGGCCACAGGTTGCTCTGTGATTGCGGATTGCTACAGACGAGAATCTCCAGAGGATTTCAGGTTAAGTTAAAGGTAACGTAATAGTTTATTCTGTGTCGATCGCTCACAGAAAGCAACGACAAGCAAAAGCTCGTTCCATTCAAGCAAGTCTACTTGACAGCTGACCGCTTAACTTTTTCGATGATTCTTTAGCTAAATATGTTGATTTCTTTGATAACGGGCGTAGACGAGTTCCGGGTTGGAAGTCTTTGATCGAAATTAATGTGGAGTATTATTTTATGTAATGACAAATGAAGCCGATTTCTGATGCGACCAACGCACCGCGACACAAAACGAGACATGAAGTGGAATCCTGTTTTTTTACAAATGTTGAGGCTGTTAATTACTAGATGTTGCCAGTTGTACGTACAGTCGTCCTAGCGAAGTGTACCTGAATAGGAAATACGAAGCAAAATCAACTATGGACTAGACCCACACTTTAATCGCCTTAGTTCTATTAAGCTCTTTGTGCATATAGAAGTATCTCTTATTATATCTGTAGACTTTTCTTTTGTTTTAATGTGTCTTCTAGGAGGCTTTTCGCGCGGCACTTGAGACAGCCTAAGAAGAGGTATAAATAATTCTGGTGGGACAATCCGCGCCCCACCATTCAGTCTTGTTACATTTTGTTCTTAATGAGTCTCCTTTGTACCTGCCTGGCCCGCTGTAATCCTATGACTCCCTCTCTTCTATTTTAAGCGAATGTTTTCATTCTGAGAACCTTTAAAGGTGAAAAGGTACTGCGAGGTTGATCGTTCCTGTGATCCTTCGTTGGCACACGCGCTTTGAGTGGCTGTAATTCTCCGATGGTTTAAAATTCAATTAAAGCAAGCGATTCGCCTTTGCTAACAGATCATTATGCCAAACTCGAAATGGGTTACGCTCGAGGTACGACCGTAGAAAGAACTGATCTTGGTTACGGAATTTTGCAGCATCCGGTCAACAATTCATGAACGAGAGGAGCTGACTTCCCTTATTCGGCATAACGCTGTATTGTGATACAATACAGCGTTATGCCAAAGGTTTATCCTCTCAATGGGCAAAGTGTATCTATTCGTTCTACTTAAGCTGCCTAGTTTAGAACTCGGGATTCATACGTGAACCCCTTTATCTTTAATGTGAAACCATTATCTTTTCAACTAACAAAAGTCAAGTTAATTACTGAAAGACTGAATTCCATCTAGAAGTCGATATTTATATAAGGGCTCGAGAATTTTCTAGAATTATGTCAAGCAGGCATTGCTTAATCGAAAAGGTATCTGCGTTCTACATGAGCTACCTTTTACTTTATTACAAGCCGGTCGAATACACCTAGGAGCCACTCTATATTGCGACGTTCCTCACGACGCTGCTCCCCTATAGTGTAGTATTTCGCAAGTATAAGGAACTAATGTCACTGCCAGTAGACACAGTAGGTTAGTAAGGTAATGACGCGTTTGTCTATTTAACTCAGTGACACATGGTAGAAGAAATCAAACTGGACGTGGCCACTTCGCTCGTTCCACCCTCGTTGTTAGAAGAAGCCAGTCGTCAGAAGTAACGTTTACTAGGATCGCAGCTAACGTAGAGCTTAGCAATTATTTGGCGCCCGAAGCTGCCCGTGGATATATTTGATTCAGCGCTAAAAGCGGTCAGCCGTTAAAAGTAATACTGGGATTTAATAACCTTATTATCTCATTTATGTGTGAGCACCAACAGAACTGCATAATTACTGAATTTCTAATAGTTTTATTAACATCTTGGTTATTTTATTGCAGATAAATATAATTGCAAACGAACTAAAAGTTTGAATTCATATTCTCAGATATACGGCGAGGAAACGTTTGAAGTGTTCACGCTAGAGGCAACGTTTGGCTGGCGTATGTACGTAGTCTCGCATGCGGTATGGTGGTCAATGAGGGGTTTGCAGCAGTCAGTGTGGAACATCGTTCATTATTCAACCAATTGACATATTCGTATACATCCCTTTTCGACGAGAATGGTTCGTTTTGTGTTAGTAGTACCTATATTAGCTGATGATCCATAAAGGCTCACATTCGTTGTCGACAATTCGACCTATCTTGGTTTTGAGGCATGCATTATCTCAGATTTGCAAAGCCCATAACAAGCCTAAGAAATAGACACACATCACAAAACGCGTAGGACAAAAAAGCCGATGTTCTCCTTGCTGTTTATGGACATAAGCAAGCCCATTGACAAAACTGCCAAATTCGGTTTACTGCGGAACCTATAGCAGAAGTTTTCCGAAGAACACATTTGCTGACTCCGAGAGAACCGAATTACTTCGAAAATTACTACCGATTACGTTATTGCTCAACCGTCTAAGTGAAAATTCTTTCGGATTTTTAGCTCTTCAATTACTCTGCACAACAAAGGTTAAGTCCAAAGATGCTAGAGTATGTCGTTCCTTATGTTCAAATGTAAATGATTCTAACTTGACTGATCCCACAAAGATTCGATCAGTATATCAGCTTCGAACCTATATGCCATTAACTTTCATAGGTTAACTATTATAAGGGCCTATGGTTCCTACCAGATCCTTCTTACACACAGTCCTTTCTCACATAGCTTTATAATATTAAGTTTGATTAGATGCCATGCTAATTAAAAAGTAGAACTGTCCATTTAAATCATATTGTCAATATTGATCATACAGTTAATTTGTATATATAAGTTTAGCTTTTCTGTACTATAAACTTAAACAAGAATGATAAAAACAATGATACAGATGCAAACTAGATGGGGAAAAAGAGCTCACATACATTTTTGTTGTTGATTTATATAGTTACCATGCATTTATATGTTTGAAGTTGTTGCGTAAAGCAGTTATTGTAATTAGATATTTCTTAGCGCTAGCGTATTACTGTGAATTTTATCTATATACAGTTTGTATTTACTATTTATTCTTCATTTGTGCTAATAAAAAGAAGATGGAAGTCTCAATATATTATTGATGAAGCATCAGTGGTGCTAAATAATATGAGTATACAAATGACAAACTCACTAAGTTTAAAGATGAAACATTCTCTAAATATAAACGTTAAATAAATTGCTCTTGAAGTTGAACTAGCATCTATACGACTGTTCCTGTATTGTGAGCGCCTCCATAATAGTTGTTATTAAAGTTAAAAGCAACTGTCGTTTCAATCACGTTAGAATTGATAATTACATTTATCCGTAAAAGGGAGAAACTCTACGTACTCGATTGCGAACAAGTATAGTAAAACGTTTTACAGATTCTAACGCGGCCAACATGGGGTTTTTGTTTTGGGGGTATTTAAAGAAATGAATACCTCCAGGAGGGAAATCATAACATCATATAACATATGCCCATTATCACGATGCCATCGAGCCAGCCAATCTTGCCTTTACAACCAGCGACTATAACCAGCCAAAAGATATGTACACTTCTGCATATTATTCAAGCTTCGCCAGAACCTTAGAAGAAATTTATTATTTTGTTTCTAATTAGGTTGGTCGTTGGCAAATAAAAGTTGAGTATTGATAAGCGGCATAGGTGAAGTTCACACTTATAAAGCACACACGCATTGTGTACGAGATTTATAAATAAATATTTTCAATGAATTTGTCGAAAATTGCTTTCCGCATGCTGCCTTATGAGAAATGGGTCTTGCCTTTATTATGTCCTGTCTTATGTGTATGCGCACGTACTGCAGTAAGGTTTATCACAGAATTTATGTTTAGTCTAATGCTCTTTTCTCCTTATCGTTTTTTCTCCCAGAAACCCTCGCGGTGATGTCCGAGTGGGCTGCGCGTCTGGGCGGGTGATCGCGGTCTGATCACCGGACCCCAAATCCGGTGGTCGTTCCCGATCGCGCCTCCGCCCTGGATCATCCCAACGAACGTTAACTTGTTGTCACTATCATTGAAGAATTTCCGCCAACCCGACGACCACCCAGGTGTGGAGACCCCAAAGCCGCCGCAGGGCCAGCGGAGTACCTTTGCCCCGGGCTAGGTGCCACGGGGAATTAGGCCCATACTTACCTGCTTGGACAGCACGGACACAGCGGTTGGTGGCGTTGTTGGCGTCGTGGTCGCTCAGAAGAGGACAGCGCCGGCAGCAGGAGCTGCGGCGGAGACCACGTGGAAGCGCTTGGCAAGCCCCTGGGCAGCATGGCCGGCAGTGGTGCAGTGCTTGCCCCATACGTGCACATAAATGCCAGTAATATAACATCACATTTACATGGCGTTCGCTCCACAACGACCACTCCCACGACACCGGCCACTATCACATTACATCACTACACTCATCAGGTAATCGACAAGGAGGGTAAGGTAATAAACCATCTCGTATGATTCCAAACATCTATCCATCCAAACACTAGATCCCATACTTTTGCTTCTCGTTTTTCCTGTTAGAGCAACCGTCCATGTATAATCCCATATTCAGGTCTTACTTGAATAATTTAATTTATGCAGTCATGTCGACCTATTTCTATTGAAAACGACCGTTCAAAAAAGTGCTGTCCTTGCCATTGTGTATCTGAAGTCATGAGGATTCATTTTACAGTGAGTTTTTAAACACGCCAGGCCCTTCCCGAGCTTCAATGAACCTGATTACTTTTCGATTAGCGGAAGAGATACTACTTATTCCTAACAAGGACATGCAAAAGGACACAGGGAGAAAAAAGTTCCTTTTTATTTCAGTTGGCTTCACAACATCGGCCTCGAGCAGGCTCGGGATCATGTCACCCAGCACAGACTTCAGAAGCCATCGTTCTCTTCACTATCGCATTTCTCGGAGTTAGCGCCAACCTTTTCCTAATGTCGCTCATTCTGACTAAAAAAAGCCTGCGAAGGTTCGTTCGTAACCCACATACATTTTGGTTCTCATAGTGTTGTAATAGACAGATTTCTCACACTCTTGGTGAAAACATTATCATTGAGGATAGCAGAAACAATAATCATATGATTAAAATACATTCAAAATCGAATTTCAGATGCAAACAATTAACTAAATTCGGAACAAGCAAATAAAAAGTGCCTAATTAATTGTAAAACGGGGAACTGAAAAAAGCAATCTGATTAATTTATATACAGCTAATGTTCTAAATCTATAATATATTGTTGATGTAAACCCACACAACGCTCCTCAGTGATACATTCTCCAATGGATCTCTGTTCCCGTATATTATTTATATTAAAGTGAGCTTTGTTAATTTTTTTTAATTATCTCAATTCAATCCGATGTAAACACGGTTACGCTACTAATACTATGATACTTCAATATCGTTAAATTAATTCAAGATTTATTCATCTCCAGATGGTCTCAGGGCCTGTTGTTTCATCAGGGTTTCGTTGACTGTGTACGGGCGCTCTTGCTTGTTCCAATGGGCCTATCCGTATTGTTGTGCCAACGGTTACCTCCGTGCGCCCTGATTGAGACCTGTTTCCTACTTCTAGTTACTGTGTCGACGGTCAATCTGCTTGTGGCCGTCCTTAACGATGTGCCATTGCTACCTGATCAGGACACGCCAAACTCGGTCATCGATTCCAGCCAGGTAAGCAGCACTGCCGTTTGAACAAACGCACGTATTTGGTAATAATATATTCTAGTTTCTCTTGGAAGTTAATATATTTCTCTGACAGCATATCTTATCCCTGTTACCTGTACATAGTACTTACTCCAATCAGATTTTTGCTTGTTCGTCTGAATCGCCTTTTTGTTATCGATCTGCGGTAACAATTAAGAAAAATAAATATATTAATAACCAACGAACGTTGTTTACATTTTGTGTATCGTGCCATATAAACTGGGAGTATTTAGTTTCGCTTAAACATATATAGACCTGTTTATATTTCTACTTTTGTATTCAATACTTTAGGTACTGTTAGAAAGTCCTCAGTGCATCATGTTTGGACTATGCATCATCTGGTTTGCGGCATTTACGGTCAATCTCGGGCCGACATTTCTATCTGGTGCACTCTATCAGAACCGCGACCCTGCTTTGCATGGACTCGACGTCTGTCCTATAGTTTATGGGCCTGTACGGCACTATGTGCTTAACATCCTCTGGATCGGTGTGAACCTTCTATGCGTGGGTCTGATGGGGGTTCATCTTCGAAAACTGTTCAAAGACCTGCATAAGGCGAGGGGCAACGTTGATAGCCTGCGCATCGCCAGCCTCGTCACGACGGTCATCTCTATGAGAACTGGTGAGCTTTGTGCAAGCGAAACACATAGACAAAAATAAACTGTTATATGTAGTGAGACAAAATCTAAGCATATGTTGTTTACATAAGTCGTTGTAAAGATGCCGCGGGCCCTTGAGTTAAAGATAAGTCAAGTTCACTATGTAATCAACCCTCTGCAATCGCTACGTCCTTAGTTTAGGGAGAAGCATTCGCTAATATCAGAACGGTCCTTGTAGTTACTGAGGTTAGGGCAGCCCCCAGTCCATAGGAACATCAGGTTGAGCACACCCTTTTTAATACGCAGTCCTGCGCAAATCACTATTTTATATTTATAGTTCTCCTACTTTATAGTTCCACAGGTGTGATTAAGTAGTGAAAGACGGCCTGGTACCCATGGCTAATGCACATCTCCTTGAGTGCGCTGCCATAATAATAACCGTTTGGCCATCGCTGCTTGGAATTTTAGCGTTAGCAAATAGTTGTTATGGCATATTGTTACCTCGCCGTGTTATAGGTCTATTGGAGAAAACTCAAATGAGTCCAGCACGAAACAAAGACCGGATGGAACCAAATATGTTATATCAAAGCCGACACTTCGCAGTCTGAGCTTGGCCTTCGTCGTGCTCGACAAGACACTAAAGTAGGCTTAATCAGGCCTTTTGAATGACCCTTATAGTGCCACTGCTCGCCTCAGATCCAGGGCGGTTCAGTAAACAAAAGGTAACGCCTTAAAGTCGGACGTGAGTTAACAAGTGCTGTGATTAAATAAAAGGGAGCCAATTATAGTTTCCCGCTCAACATATTCGATGTACATTGCCCAGCAACCTTTAGCAAAATACGGGATTTTTCGTTTTTCTGAAGTGCTATTAGGAGACATTGGGGTTGCTCCCTGAAGTTGCGTTTGGTGTTGAAGGATAGCCTGTAAAGCCTTTTTTCCAGGTGTCAAATGCATAGCACTTCTCTAAGCTTCCCATAAAACGGCCGGATGCATACGACTAAAAAAAGTTCATCTGGTGCTTACAAGGCATTATCTTCGGTTTCCTACATAGGTCTGCGTTTGTCTATCCGACGATCACTAACCGCTTATCTACCTATAATATAGATGAAGTACAAGAGTGAACATAGCGTATGGCAGAGTTAAGTAAATTTCACTAGTAACAAACGGTCTCTACTCTAGCTGGATCTCCGTTCGAATCTAACGTCTGGCCATTCTCTCTGTCTTTTGTTCGTAACAAATGACGCTATTTCCACGTTGCCGTCGTTACAACCATCATCGCCACTGCCACTTCCTTTTCGACCAACGCGCACTTTCCGCTATCGTTATCGTGTCGTTAAACTCGGCCCATAGATAACGTCGAACAATGCAGTAGTAGCAGTGACTCGGTGCAGAATTACATTGGGCGACTAGAACGCGAAGGCATCCGACGTGTGAAGATGTTTGTCATTATGCTCATCGCGTATATTGTATTCTGGGGCCCGTTATTCTCTGTAACACTGCTCCAGCCGGGTAGGTTTGCTGATATACCGCTATTGATGATGATAACAGGCACTGACACGGGACCGTTAGACGATAGGTACACGCTGCCCCTGTAAATAGTTGTTTATTTGCTATTTTCGTTTGTTTCGCTTATTGCCTTCATCCCCTTCTTTCCGACTCTGCTTTGCTCCCTGTACACAGGCACAGACCACTGTGAATGTACACATACATACCTATGTGTACAGTGATGGGCAGCGGTCAGTGATACTAACCGCGCAGACAGACTCGAGGTAACATTTGTGACCATATATACGATTTACGTAGCGTAGACGCAGTGGTTCGTAGGTAATACAGAAACAATGGCAGAGTAACGATAACAATATTAACGATTTGTTTTTTGTGTCCCTATCCCCTGATGTCGTTTCTGTCGTATTGTCTGATCGACGGTGACGGTGCGGCGGCGGCGGCGACGGCGACGGCGACGGCGGCGTCACGATCGTAGTAAACATTGCGGGGTTATCGTCAAATAATCTGTGGTATCAAATCAGTCTGCACGTGGCATTCGTTCACTCATTTGTCAATCCGACGTTGTTGCTAAGTTTGCATGGCGAACTACGCTCGGCCGCCTCAGGCTCGTGCCACACCAGTCACCCGGCCGAGTCACAGGAAGACTCGGACTATATCGGCTCAACGCAGTTGCCGCCCTACGGCGATATGGAGCCCGACCCTATTCGGGCAAAAGCGAGCTACTTGTGAGTTTGTTGCTTTTCTTATCTAATTAGAGTACAATATAAATATTATTATATCGAATCATTCAGATAGAAAGCACGGGTAACTTTACATCGGCAATGTGTATACTTGTATATGCTCGTATCTTATGACTGAACTATACCCCTCTGATATAAATGATCGCTTATTTTACTGCTACATTTCCTCACCGTACATCGAGATAGCAGAACAGTTTGACGTGCTCTCGTAACTACGCAGTGCAGTCGATCTATAGTCTGACACAATAGGCGAGGAAGTATGCCAATGGGAAACCTTGGCACATATAAAACGTACTCACGGCCAACTGTGTTATTAATGCTTGTTGTTTCTATCATGAACGTGTGTACGATATTATCATGGTAGAGAAGAATGGCCAGCGCCTCTTTTCCTGGGGCTGAAATTGTTTAATTTTCTGAAAAGTCCGTTGTCTTGTCCTCTCCCAATCTAATATGTGAAGTAAGCCCGTGCTACTTCTGCATTAATACCGACGCTAGCATCGCGACTCCCTTAATATAGGCACCGGGGACAAGTGTCTTTGGCCAGCCAGTCTACCTGTTTTGTGCCTTCATGTAGTACGTGGTCAGAGCTCGTTCGTTCTGTTTAGTGACGTAAAACGGAAGCTTGCTTTTGGTTACTATACTACTCGTATGCTTGAAAACTCTTGAGCACCTTTGAAATTAAATCGTGCAGAGAAATAAAATTTTCGAAGGTAGAAGCCATAGCCCTGCAACCAGCTTTACTTTGCACTCGCTAACTTGGCCAGCTGGATGTTACTATCAGAAGACAAGTTGCGACTATTATACACAATTATCATTAACCAGACGCGTGCATAGCCTTCGACGTGCACACGTGCCGAAATAATACGTTCCTTGGTGGCAATTATGGTGCAGACAAGACAGGATCCATGAATTGCTTGCTGCTAGTTTAACACGAGCAAGGAAGATGAAGTAAGAAGCCATAAATATGAAGTCTCAGTAGTGAAACACGAGTACGGCCCATGACAATAACGGGTAACGTAAATATATATGGGGAATATTTGCGGGCCGAATTAGAAGGGAAATCGCAAAGCAAACATTTTTTTATCTAACAAATACCTTAAGTTAGTAAGAAGCACTAGTGATGGCGTGGTGGATAGTATACTTAACTGCTAAATTTGAGAACCCGTGCTGGTCTAGGTTGGAATCTGAGCGCAGACATTTTTCGTTTTCAGATGGGAACCAGCCTATATGCTTAAATGAAATTAATCATTTGTAGACGTATGAATCAAAGCTCCTGCAGTTTTAACGCTTGAAGATGAGACTTTGTGTTCACACGCTAGTACGTAAAAATATGACATGTAACGCATCTAACAATGTAACGACTCTTGAGGAGTCTTGTTTACTTAACATTACTTTCTTACATTTTCTAGGTTTGTTTAGGTGATAGCAATAAAAGCATAACTTTATATTTTAAGGTGGTCTGTTGCATCCTTTGAAAATATCCGTAGTGAGTGTCCTTACAGTTGTCACTGTCGTGATATCTTATGCCTCTATAAGCCTATCTGGGGCGCGCTAACCTAATCTAGCTGACCAAGGAGCCATGAGTCACCGATCTAGCGAGCGCTTTAGTGGTTCACAAATTACTATCTCACCAGATCCTCTCAGTAGAGGTTACAGGGACATAACGGTTGCAGCCCTCCCTAGATCTGCTTATCCGACCGCGAAAATGAGACTGCAGGCTCGCAGAAATTTCTGTTTCGTTAATCACTTAGTGCAGCACAGTTGTATCGAAAGTATGATACTATATTGGGGATGAATTGGCATACACTCTGCATAAGGGCTATATGATTTTCAAGCGGTCAAATAGAAATCCATGAAAGTTTGCCGATCTACTCGATTGTTCGAACGGATACTCAATACATCGCAAAAAAGTATCATTGCTCTACACAGAACAAAGTGACAGTCTAAAAGTTCTGAATATGTGTCCATGGAAAAGGTAAACACTTCAATAGGGTAAGAGTTACAGAGGCTGCTAATTTGGAGGAAGCTTCAGATACGCCCGTCAAGATCCGTCCTGGAAATCTTCAAAAGAATAATAGTAGCTAAATCCGAAAACCCACTCACATTCAATCAAAGTGCGGCAATCAACTCAACATCGCGCAGGTGCACGTTACGCATATAGCCCTACCGTGGGCCATATGGAGTATGCTACTCGCTTGCTACCTCGGAGTCATAAACGAAGTATGATTAAGTTAGAGACAAGCGACAAAGCACTAGTGACCTCATATCTTTACCCTATAATTCATTACAGATTGTCGGCGATGACCAATGGAGATATTGCTTCGTAAGTATTTTTCAAAAATTCGTAATCTACTAGTATTAATGACTGTAATGAGGTAGGTACTGTAGCAGCATGAGTGCTAAAAAAGATAATGGAAAGTGCATGTTTTTATTGCATTGATGTAGCACGATAAGCATGAATGATTTTGACTACGTCACTGATTCTAACCCTGCTAAGTGTACTGCAGGAATAAAAACTGCAGAAAAAAAAAGTTACAAAATTCCTATTCACAATCATGAGTACATGGTATTATATAATTTACTTTTTTTCATCGAAACATTTTGATTTTTGTGGTCTATTATGGGTATGCGTGAGAAACAGAAAGCAATAAGTTGTTGGGCACGATACGGCCACAGAAACTTTACGACTTGGGCAACTGTTTAACGTTCCTAACGCCCTTCACTTCATTATCAATACTTGGATTTATTTATTTAATGTCTACAAGTAGTTTCATGTTTTACTTAGTAAGCTAGCGGATGAGAGATGCACTCTTATGTGCTCTACACGCCAAAATACACTGCATCTATTTCTTTTGTGATCATAGTAAAACGACCCTGTGACAGCTCGACGAGGGTGGGGTTCTGGGTCAAACTACCGCCCTCGATCTCGATGATTGCTTGACCCTACCACACCATCCTATCACGACGATACCCCAGCAGCAGCAGCAACAGTCATCTCATTTACAGACGTCGGCGTCGACGTTGTCGAGTGATGTAGGCATTATTACGACGTCGGACATTGTTCAGGGAAATGGTACTGTCCTCTCGTGGTCCGGCCAGATTCAGCCTCTCTCTGACCAGCAGCTGGTGATTCCCAATAGTACGACTAGATCAATGGGCAAGATGCTGTCGTTATCGCAAATGTTGCCAATACCCGACATTAATCAGTTTCACCTCAACGCCATTTGGTTAGTTGTTTAACAATATAAATTGATACCTCATGAGCATTAGATAATACAGGCGATGCTGGAATTTACTGGATTCGACTAACCCGTACGCATTTACGTCTGTGTTCCTTTCTACGTTGCGAAGACTGTCGAATTTCTTTTTTAAATTACACATATTGTAGAAGTAGAAACTTCACAAGATAAAGGTCGAACAAATGATTCGCCTTCTAACTGTGCAATTTTTACAACGGAAACTTTCACAGCAAAAATAGTTATATGTTGTGTAGCACATTGTTCCGACAGTTGTACGGTCCTATTGGTCCGATACGATCTCATTGTTGGTACGTCTTTGTGTTACGTGCATGTGTACGAGGTGGAATATTTACACATTTTCGTACGTTTTTTCAGTGATGTCGATGTGTTTGAAATGGCTGCGAACGTAGCGGCTAGCGATCCGAGCTTCAGCAATCCGCCGACGAGCCAGCCGGACTCAATATGCTGATTAATGATGATGAGATCGGAGCGCGAGCAACGCATGCATGTTATTGGCCTTTATCGACGGGGACAGAGATAAAGAGCGGGAGAAATTGTAACAACGACATATTACGGCGTTGCAATACGGAAGCCCAGAGATTTGCAATGGTTCAGTGGTTTAATAACATGCGGTAAGGACACGATCAGTCGCTTAGTCGGTCAGTATTCTTCGTTAACAGTATTCAGCTAACAGTATCCTTATTGTGATGAGACGACGTCGCAATAGAACGAACCGATCGACTCAAGCGCGTACGATGTGCTTATGTGCGTTCTGAGCCCTGATAAGGACACGTCCGTTTGAAGGTGTGCTGTTCGTTCCTCTGCATGCCGAAAACTGGGGCAAAAACCCGAAGTGAATTGAGGCCAGGGTCCGGACTGATGGCTTTCGACTGCGGATAAGCAGGAAAAAAACAATTGTTTATTCCTCGCTACATCGTTCGCTGATTTTCATTGATCTCTCAGTGTGGTTCGTTTAAATTTGTCAAAATTGGCCCACATTAAATAAGCTAATACGGGGGTCGCAACGAACAAGAATCTCTTCATATGTTAATGACTCTTGAAGGGGCAAATGGAGCAATCCAGATCTAAATTGTCGTTGTAATTCATCTGATAATAACTTTTAGTATTAATAAATCAAGAGACAAGAAGTGGCCGAAGCTGTCAAGAAACGAAAAGTGTATACGAAAGTTGAACGTAAAATCGGTAATGACAGCCGCAGTCGAAGCTGTAACAATGACTGGTTTGTTGACTAGCAGCTGATGCCATATAACAATGATAATACGCATACAAGCTAATAAGAAAGATGTCGAAAAAAAAAATACGGAGACAGTGAAGAAAAACTACAGACAGTGATGTACCGAGTCTGTACGGAGGTAGAAATATACTTGAATCCTGTTGTGTTTTAGCATTACTACCATTTTAATACAATAGTTACTTGAAATGTTATGATGATCTACTCTGCTCATATAGATGTCATTCTGCTTTTTTGCTCAACGATATTTGTTTATAGATGTGCGTTTTTCTATACATCGTGTATCAAATGAACCTTTTGGTGTTAACACCCATACGCGGTCACGCACACACAAATCAGACCAGCAGCGATAGCAAATGTTATCAGCTAAATAGCAATACATGTAGTAAACCATCAATCATAACGCTCGTGACAGCTTTTCCATAAACATACCTTCATCAAGTTTGATTTGTTCTTATTATTGTTGTACAAATGGCCAATCAAAGCGGTTCACGTATTCTAAATTTCTCTCTACGGTACCATAGTCATCTTATCGTGCTCTTTCTGAACCGCTATCCACTCGACAGCCGAAAAACGAACTAAGTTGTTACCATTTCTTTATTATATTGAAGACGCCACCCCATCGTCAGTACTATTATTAATGTAATTAGCTTGTTCGTATCTATTTTGCCATGCGTACGTTTGTCACTGTACCATTATATTATGTCGCCGTCGTATGTCGCATTGTTCCGTAGCGTGTTAGCACGCTCAAACTGAACGCCCCTCAGGCAGCATGCTGAGGTCCCCTAGGTGGGTTTCTCTTATCTTAAGGGTCAGAGAAGCCCCAGAGGTGGCCCACTCCTTAAGGGACCAGCTCCGTATCTGGAGCTCCCTTATTCAGATAAAGCCGTAGTAGACCAGGAGAAAGAAAGAATAGAAAAACAAAAAGCCAAGCAAACAGAGACAGAGAGGGAGAGAGGGAAAGGGAGAGAAGGAGCCAAAGAGCTGAAAGTAACGACAAAGTGTAAAACGATGGTCGGAGGTGATCTCGTAAATATTTACTATTACTGCAGATGCACATTGAATGTCGTTCTCCTTTCTCCAAGAGTGACACCGAGCCAGCCATATTTTTCTATTCTTATGCCATACTTTTGAAACAAAATATATTAATAGATATTTGAAAAAGGAGCCTGGCGCTTAATGATATATATACATACATATATATATATAGCAGACGACGACGTAAGTGTTGTATTGAGGCTGGTTGACACAGATAAATAATTAACAGATGGTAATGTTTTCTTTAACAAGGTCTTCCCTTTTGTACATATCTGTACATAGCTGCAACTGTATAAAAATCACGGTGAAGCCAAAAAGAAGAGAACAGAACAATTATAAATAAAGATGAAAAACATTATAGACTATAAACATACAAATCAAAATGAAAGTCACTATTAAAAAAATTGTATAAAGTGTGTATAGCGTGTAAAAATACTGGAACGGCTAAAAATTCGAGAGTTATAATAATAGTACACAATTAAGAGATATACTATAAAACGATGCAAAAAATAATGATATAACAATTATTATTATCACAAAATGAAAGTAATCACACTAAGAACAGTCACAAACACCTAGATAGTGTCATTATCGTATACGTAACATGTGACAAGACAAGAGCAATGATGATACAAAATACAAACGGCGAGATTCTCTACCTGAAATAGCTTGAGCGAAGAGACGATGATACAGATCTTGCTCTGTGCCCGCCAGAGCGAGTGAATGTAATCGGAGTTTATCTGAACTCGGCCTGGTGGCATCTCCGTTTATGCTAGTGTTATACGCCACGTTCTGTATGGCCAGCGCGTGTAGGTCATACATAGGGGAAACTTGAAACGCAGACAACGTGAAAAATTGTCCTGATATCGATGGAGCGATAAGATGCCTAACACACCGTCGATTGACAGGAGAACGAAATCGTGAAACCGTGTATTCTCACCGATATTCTGCGACGTAACGTCTGCTCGTGCTGCCGTTTTTTTTTTTTGTTTATTCGACTAAATACGTTGTCTTTTGTTGGCTTCTAGGAGCTATGCACCACGTGCTGTTAAATGCATACATCTAATTCGCTCATTAATTCGACTAAGCTGCAGTGTTTAATTGTACGCTGGTTTCTACGCAGACGTGGCTCCGTTTATAGAATTCATCTATGAAGTGATCTGAACCTACCATCAACACCACACGATCGATAGCATATAATTGTAGTATAGAATTGAATACCCGCTGAATACGTGAGCAGTCCGATAGTCCATATAGTAAATACAGACGAAACCCGATGTACCTGAATAAATTAAGTCGCACCTAATACCGAGCCAGCTCCTATGAGACAACGCTGAAGCTGCGAAACTCTCACATGATCACAAATAATATACGCCAAGAAGATTTGATTTTGTCTTTTACACCACAACGCGCATTGTACACGGTCTTCACCTAATATCTATTAAATTTGAAGCCAGACAGGGAGCTCTTCATAGACGAAGAAGAGTTTATCTTTTATATTAGTAATGTCGATAGAAATGGTCCAGCCACGATAACCTGCCTACCTCCGTATAATGACTGCGCGTAATCCTAAATTAATTGTCGAATTGATACTGTAAATGACCGTACCAGGTTCTGTAATATAACAAGTGACGCAGATAACGCAAAGGGCGATGACTTATTACGAGATAATGCCGTGAGAAGATGGAACAAAAACAAGAACTTGAACGAAAACGAGAGGTAATTAGGAGGGAAAAACACAGACCAGGAAAGAAGACATTGAGAATTGGTGGTTATGGGGCTTCGTAAACGAGTTACGAGAATTATCTGTATATGATAGAGATATATAGATAGGGAGAAAATGGCAGTGAAAGATAATAAGTTAAAAAAGGGCGTCGACGTTTCAATAAATAATCATTAAGTAACATATTTGTACGTCAAAGGTTTTCATTTTCCGTTCTATTAATATATTATGTGTGCTTGTTCCTAGCCACGCATGCAATGACAAAATGAGAATAGTTCGAAAGCAGAAGATCTCTGAGTGATACGGATAACATTTCCGTTTGTTAAGAAAATCCTACGAGCATCAATACTTTTTATTAATTTACGAATGAAACTTAGATCAGGCTAAGCATAAAATAGGTCAACAGGCGAGCCTTCTATACATCTCGATTAAATACAATGATACCGAAAAACGCAATTTCCGATCGCTCAACTAATGCTTTATAATGATTGTTCAGTCTTTTACTATCACCGATGACTATAATACATGAAACCTAAGTACAATATACCTTCGCGTTATAATATTTTGGCTAGCTTACTAAGCGGCTCATGCGCAAGTATTCACACCGATATCATAGTTACCCAAATTTTATATATATAGGTACATTCGGTGTCAACACCAAACATGCTGAAGAGGGCGACGATCGTGGCAAACCGAAAACTCACCATGTGACAATGCTGCCCTTATATGCCGAATGAAGGGCAAACGAAAACTGTTTTTCCAAAAGCGAAAACCTCTACAATAGTTGCATACTAAAATTCCTTTCGTAAGATTCTGTGAGAGGGCATACGCTTGCCTTTGCAAGTCGAACGAGCAACCTAAAGGTGAAAACATCGGTTTTTGCAAGGTGATTTTTTCAGTGGAAAACTTATATTAGTTGAAGAATTGACACCGAACCTTAATAAAAGGAAAACAAGTAAATCGCAACCTAAATGATATTCAATCAAAACGGAGCTCTTTCGAAATAACTTTGCGGACCTCACTGGCCCTTGGCCATGTGTGATATAAGTTAAGTTTAGATTGTAATAAGTTCAGAACTAATAAACACGGTATTGGGCTGGTTTCGGGCGTTTGACATTACAAAATGCTACATATTTGTGCATTCAGTATTTTGGGAAGATATTACGAAGAGCATTATATATCAACTAGTTTATGCTCGCCTATGAAAGTACATTACGAGGCTTCATAATTGCGTCAAGAGAGACATATATCAAATAAAATTAGCTACTGATTATAGTTGGACGTAAGTAAATTTTCGCAACCAAACAACATGGATGATGAAGCTTCATGACTCTGCATACAGCAAGCTAAAGCAACGTAAATATATTTAAATCATGGCGGTTACATTATTATTCTGAATCAGCTAAGGTCTATGAAGGCTGAAGGCCGCTTCGTGCATTCTGTGAGTACTTAATATTACTTTATTATAAATGTGAGAATTAAGCAAGTTTAAATCCTTAGACCGCCCTTTACCCAGTACCTAGCTGAAATATTTCCAATTTTTATTTTGTTCTAGCTCGCTTGACTTCCGTCACGGACATCAGGAACTATTTAGGGTTGAACTATGACTATACCCAGGACTCGTGGCTAGTGGGCCTCGCAAGACTTTCCCACCATCATCCAGAATTTATTGGACATTGTCCTTCTTAGGAGTTCACGTCATGCGTTCAGAGATAGACGGCGCCTGGCGGGTCCTTTCTTAATATGCGCATTTCAGGCCAGATGCGTGAGATCCTTCAGAGCGTAGTATGAGCTGAACTACAAAATCACTCCGAGTGCTGACTGGGCTTTGAATTTGGCGCTGTTCGGTCTTCCAAATCGATCAACATCAAATGCAACTAATTTATCACGATGACTTCTGAACCTCTGTCTGCCAAACGAGTAATAAAATGTTCGTCATCCACATACACTATATTGTCTAGAAATTCACTAGCTCCAAACATTTATCTGTAGACTAGCAATGAATGAGGATCTACTTATTAAGAAAGACTTTTTACATCTTTCCTGCTTTGTCACTAATATTCACTTGTACAACAGAAGGCCGGCAGAATTTGACCGTTCACAAATCGTCGTACACAATGTATTGTCTCAAGCTCGCGTTTAAACCTATAGGTAAGATAAATTGCATGAGGGATGCCTTTCGATTTAATGGAGAAGCAGATGAAGAAAAGCGTCACTGTTATATAGCTGGAGGCAAAGGAAATACATTCGGGTAATGAATATGAAAGCAAATTGTTTCTTAGAGAGAAAATACGCAACACAGAATAGCCGTTCTGTGCTTGGACAAAGCTAACTACTAGTGAATCCAAGTTGATCGATTTGAATCGTGCGTATATCATGCTTAAACAAATCTATTTTTAAACAAATCTATCCATCAATATTGATCTGCCTGATGACTCGCTTTATGCGGGAACGAGACATGGCAAATAAGCCCACAGGCGAACAAAACAAAAAAAGTAATCAACTCTGTACCTTAATTATTATGAAAATTTTGCACAGGCACAAGATTTCTATATCTGTCCTTAGCTAGTTGGCCTAGATCATGCGCTTCATCGTATTCAATCGATTCAAAGAAAGAACTGTATTTAATATGCACGTTACGGCAATATATCCCTTGCTGGTAACGGACTTATCCAAGAGTAAAATATCTGCACTGTGTAAGAACAGGTCCAATAATGTCATCTGAAATGTCTAATATAAAGCTGAAGGTCCTCAAGTGGAACTAGAATAAGGATAAAACGTTGCAGACAAAACCACTATTATTTAATCGCGGGGCCGGCGCCCAACTTTTTGCCTTTTTTGCTAACTTAGAAAGCAAATTGTTCCCGCTTATAGAATGAGAGTACCCGCTGACGTTTATAGGCTGCCTTCACTGTGTACGTGTATATATATATATATATATATGTGGCTATTTCAGACTGCTTAAAACACATACCTTATTATTAAAACCGTCAAGAAACTTGACTACTGGCCGCCTTTGGTTTATAAACTATAGTATACTGATAGTACTATTAATGCCAATAAAATTTTATCCTGTCCGCAAAAGTAAAGCGTTACAAATTACACGTGTATTCAGAGTCCACAGAGCTTTGCTCAATTCAGTCTTCTAACGGATCTATTTCATACCATTAAAGGGTACTATATGTATGCTACCCAGTGGCCAGGCTGAATTCTTTGGAAGAACTCATCTTTATGGATTTGAGAGAGAAGTTTTGTCTGTTAAACAAAGAAATAGCCAGGAACTCAAGCTATTATATATATATGTATATTAGATAGCTAGTACACGTCTTAAAGATTACAGCTATAACTTACGCATCCTATGAGGATATGCACTCGCAGGTCACATTTAGTTGCTTAACAAACGTAAATGCAATTTTGCAAATAAGAGCCTACAAATAGCCGGATTCATTAGTAAGGCAAGAGCTCAGTAGCTGAGTGTAGAGGGCTTCACGAGGGCAAGTGGCAAATATATATTTTTTTAATTTATTTATTATATCCATAAAAGTGGGACACGAGGGCCGTTCCCCGTGCAACGATAACAGTTATGTCTCCTCCAACTGTAATGCGCCGCGCGTTTTCCTGCTTTCCATTACAACATATTATACGTTATATAGTGCCTCATAATAGCTTTGCTAAAGCTGATGTTCTATTGATTTGTTTGATGTTATCAGCGGTGGTAGGATGTTTGCATCGTTGTAAACACTGAGTGGTATTCAAAGTGGTGCTAGTATCTTTTTCCTCTAGGTTTCCTTATGGACCGTGGAATATGGGTACTTGACGTATTGGTGTTTCACTAGATTAGATCGGTCAAGGTCTGAACGCTGTATTCTATTACCATGTTATAAGGTAGCAAATAAAATTCAGCCAATTGGCTCCACACGAAGCGAGGTGTCTCTTCGGCCGGATTCGAACTTTAAGCGCTTTTGTGCATGAAGCATTAAACTTGTCGGTATAAAAGAAAAATACTTTTACCATCATTGTCTGTGCTAGTCAAAGATGTACCTACATCTGCGTATGGTGAAATGGGTTTTTTGACTGTACTTGTGAAATCTCTATACCTGAATTTGGCAATGCCAAGTCACCTTGAAGGGTCATGTACATTTTATATTGAAACAAACAGAATACTAGAATGAAGTGGTGACCTTTTTTTACTAGCAAAATTCATTGTAGACCTTTTTTATAATAAAAAGATATATGTTACTGAAGACGATTCTTTCAACCGTAAGTCCAATACTAGATTATTGTATTTATTTGATTAGAGAGAAAAGCAGTACGATTTATATATATATATATATATATATCTATACATGTTGTGGCGCGTCGTGGGGGATCGAAAAGTAAAACCAGTCGGCAATTGACACATTCGGTATAAAGAAGAAAGCTGTAGGGAAATGCTTCTAATTATTCCGTGAATGTAATGATCGTATCTCATTATCGTCGTGACGATAAGTGGCGCTATGATAATTTATCCATTTTCTTCAATTAGTATGTGTAATGTGATAATAAGCCTATCTGGCTCTAACAGTTTCAATTAGCAGGCTATGGCCTATAGTTGAGCGTGTTATAATAATGAATCAATAATGGATTCTGTTTGAGAGGCCATACGGACAACTCTTAAAATACTTTGGGGACGTACAAAATGTTCTTATGGTTCTATAGTCTCTCTGTCCTGGACTGAATCATTTAGTGTAAACTCATTAAGCTCTTTTATAAACAAGGTCAAGACGTAAGTACTGAGTATTTTTCAAAGTTTCTGAACACAGAAAAATAACAAAAAATGGCAAATATACTCCCGCAGCGGAAGCTGTTTATAGGGCCTGAACACTATAGTACACGCACACAGTACTTCAAGCGATGCATCAGTTGAAATAGCGAAATATTTTTCTAAGGCTTGTAAAGAGGTTGAGTCAAAAAATCCGTACTTGTTTTGTAGAATTTTTTTGAAAAAAAAAAGGTCGGTTTCTTTAAGGCTCTCAAATGCACGAAGTAATCGCACGTGTCAATAAAACTCTCTCTGTGTTAACTATTTACGATAGGCTACATTCTCACAGGGTTCTGAGTAAGTAGCGGATCATTGGACAAAGCATACGGAGACAGCAAGATACGATA